AGGAAATGGTTCAATAGGGAGTGGTTGCAGGTACTAAAGAGTTAGAGTTATCGACTAAATATCTAGGGCTCAAGTGTTGCCATTGACCCAAATGGAAGGCATCAGAATGAAGTTCAGGGCACACTCACTTGGAGGAGCATCCTGGAGGAGCACCCAGTGCACACCCAGTGCAGGAGGCTGTAATATGAGCCTGCAGCTGAGGAAGGAGGTGGCCGTGGAGAAACAGGGTTCAGAGTCTGGCTTACAGCTCACAGTTAAGACCTGACGGGGGAGCATGGGAAGGACAGGATATTTCTTTATGTTATTTTCCCTCTTGACAAACACTTAGAGAAAAATGAACAAAAAGAAGTGGAAGTTATAGTATAAGAAAGAAGAGTTTTAAATCTTGGAGACCAAAATTAGGGAATTTCAACAAGGGGCATTTAAAAGGAAAAATTGGGAAATGATCAGTAGTGGTGAATCTTCAGAATGTTTGAATGTTAGGGTGAAAGAAAAGTAATAAGTTGTAGGGGTAATAAGATGATGTTCTTTCCCTGTAGCTGTCAATGCTCGTAGTTGGAGGGATTAATTTGGACTTAGGCCATGAGCTAATTACAGAGGTAGAGAGGTGCAGGGTGTGGAGCAGGGACTATATCTCCACCTGCTTTCTTCAAACCAGTGCCAAGAGGAAGATGTGGTATTATTTCTGGCCATTTCTTCAGGACTCCCTGACCCTCAGGCACTGTGCTTAGCACTGAAATAACCCTGAATTCTCTTGCAGCTGATATTTCTTTACTTTATGCACTTTTGCTTCAGGAGCCTCAGTAACTCACCTCTGTTTCTGAAGCCATTAAGTAATGAAGTTGGAGAAGAAACACAAGTCTTTGCCATTTTTATTTTTGTCACATGCCATGGCACCATGCCTTTGGTACCTCCAGTATTCTGGCCCAACTGTGTCCACTTTCAGTAATTACAAGTGCCCTTGAAACCTTTCTGCCTCAGTGGGACCTAAGAAAAGATCTGAACTGAACTGTGTGACATTTTGGACAGAGTCCTGGGGGACTCAGACCTTGGCTGTGAGATTTCCTGTCTTTGTGATTTTGGGCAAGTCTTTTAGTACAGAGGTTATTTTGAGGTCTTCTGTTTCCTGAGCTGTAAAATGTACATGAAAGTGTTTTCAACTGTAGTGCAATGCAGGTATAAAATGTTCTGATCCCAGTGTGAATTTAAGTCAGTGTGTTCCCTTCTGTAGAATTCTTTACATGTTGGGAGCTTAAATTATAATTGTTTTACTTAACATAGCGAGCATTTTGGTGTAAGAGAAACTTACAGTAATTCAGGAGAAAATCTTTTGCCTCTCAGAAAAAGAAATATCAACAGTAAGGAATAGAAGGGATATATTTGGCCAGTAAGGATAGAGTGACCATTCTCGGTATAGAGAAAACAAAAAGAGGGGCCAGGAATTTAGCTCAGTGCTGCCGCCTACCTCGCAAGTGCAAGGTCCTGAGTTTGATCCCTGGTACCAAAAAAAAAAAGGGAGGGGGAAGGGGATTTTTTTTTCTTAGAGGCAAAGGGCAAAGAGAATTTCTGATAGAAAACACTGTCAGAAGTCTTTCATATGTGGTTTTAGCACCCGAAGGCTTCAATCCATCATTTCCCTGTCCACATAGAGCCTTGAGTTTAGCATATTTAGCAAAGGTGAGGTTTGTGTTCGGCTTCAGACTCTTCCGTCTGAGTCACAACTTTGGTCAGTCGAATTGTTCTCATTTTCCAAATAGGGAAGACAATATTCCTTATGCTGAAAAGGAAAAAATAGTATCACAAATAAGTGAAGACTATAAAAAACACACTAACTTTGCAAATGAAATGTACTATGAAGTAATATTTGGGAATTTACTCTTGTGCAATTTCGGTTAACAGTATCACACCTAAAGAGCCTGAATAATTGCCAAGTGCAATTATTTAAAATTTTAAAAGCTAATAAACATAAAAAACACATTAGAAACTGTAAAATTCAATTAAGCCATTGACTGCCTTTGTCCCCTATCTTTATGGACATATCCTGGGGCATTAGACATAATTTGCAGTTTGCACCTTTGTGAATAGAAGTCTTAGAAATGTAAAAGGATCTGACCTAGAGTACTTAGAGAGTCCTGTACCTGCCTCTGCTCCCAGGACTGTACTGTTCAGAGGCTGAGAGGCACTGGCTGGGCATCAGCTGCACAGGTATGGACCAGCCAACCAGAAATTCAGTGGGGCCACCTAAACGGAGTACATCACTAGGAATTGCTTTTTCAGCCTTCTAATTAGCTGTTAAAAAGGAGCATGCACTTTGGAGTTCTTTGCTAGTTGAGAATGCACTAAAGTTCCTGACACATGTTTTTTATTCTTTTCTACCAGATCATTTAAATTGCTCTGTTGTACCTTCCTACAGCTAAAGGTTGTTTTTGCCCCATTCGTGGGCAGTAAATAAAAAGAATTGAACAGCCTCAGAATGGAACCAGAGGTAAAGCTAGCCGGAGTCCTTAAATCCTGGATCAGAACCAGGCAGTGCTAGGCAAGAAGCCTCAATTCCCAGCAGCTTCGCGATCTAAAACATCTGTTTCTGTATTTGGCAAAATTCCACTTTTTTTATTTGTAAAATTGTTCCCATCTTTGAAAACACTTTAAAAAATAAAGAAGTCCCCGTTCTGTCTCCTTTTTCCACCCCCCAACACATGCATTTGTAATTACCTGGTTTAGTCTGTGTGTTTAATCAGTTTAAATTGAGAATGCTGTGTACATCTGATTTCAATCTGAAGGAGCCATTGAACATTGGGCAGTTACCACCCTTGTGTCTGCCAAAATGTGCCTCTGCCAAAAAACGGATAGGACTCACACCCCAGGGTATTTCCTAAAGAAGCCACTTGACTCAGATTAGATGTTTAATTTCCTTAAAATATTGTTTTGGATTTGGGTCTCTGTTCTCTAATTGGGATTTTCTGATGTAATTTAGGAATATCGCTTATTTGCTGAGTTTGTGCCAGACTCCAGCTGGCAGTCTTCTAAAAGCTAAGCCTTACAGAAGTAACTTCCCTCCAAGCCCTGAGTGTCATACCTCGCTGCTTTGAAGGGTGGGCCAGCCTGTATTTATTCATGTCTTTGTGGAACCATCACCCATGCAATGCAGTGGAATTAATTTTGAGGGAGGAGGGCATTAATTTTGAGGAGGAATAATGGTAATGAAGCCTCTGATTAGAGGTTCACCTCTTTTGAGATATTTTCCTAATTGAAGCAGAAAAAACTTTGTTCTAAGTTCTAGTACTGATTATTTTAGTTTCATTTTTGTGACTGACATAGCAACCAAGTTGTGTCTAGATCTCTTTAGCTAACTTCACCTAGTTTGAGATCATAAGTTTAGTTTTTCTTCTCCGTGGGTCATAATTTTTGAATAGTGAAGAATAAAAAGTTGAGTTCTTTCTAGAAGTTTTAAACCAGAGTTCTTAAAGTCTTCTGGCATTTGAAAGCCTCTAGGAGCCTTTTTATTTGTTACAACATGACCAGTAGCTATTCCCTGGCACACCTTGCACAGTAGCAGAGCCTTATGTGTTGGAGCGATGGGCTAGCACTCCACAGGGATAATTTCAGTAGACTCATGAGCCCATCTTGGGCTATACAACCTGGGTGCTGAAAGCAAAACAGATGTAAGGAACACGATGGGGACACTTGTAGTATTTATCTATGACAGGGCTTTTAAAAAAAAGCTATTTTAATTGTGATAAAACTACACACTGTCAGCTGGTTAGGGTTACTAGATTGTAGTGAGGAATTTGTTTTGCAAGAAAATAGTCAAAACCAATGAAGATAAAGAATAAAAAACATGGCACAAAGCTAAGATCACTTGATATAGCATTTCACAGTGGAATTGGTTTCACCCTAGGAACTAGGAAGATTTAACCATGTAAATGAACATTTAAAGTCAGCTTTCTGTGGCTCAGTCTCCTGGAAGGCCCCCTGAGGGCACTGTCACATTTAGACTTCTCTGCATTGCTCCTGCCTTCTGGAGCTCTGTCCCACACAGGTGTTCTGTCTCTAGGACACCTCTGCTCTAATAAGTTTAAGTCTCAAAGGCAACCTCATTTTTGCTTTTCACCCATCTTGCAAGACACCACCTAAGATAGGCAGCTGACTTGCTAGGGTTTGAGTTTAGTCTCCTGCCTCCCACATGAGCCCACGTTCCCTCTGCTCTTCTGACTTTCCTGGGTTGCAAAGGAGCTACATCAGCTCATTTCTCATTTGACAAAGCCGAATTAGGCATTGTTTGATTTATTCATTTCACAAATATAGTATTTATGGAGCACCTACTATCTATCTAGCACTGGCTGCTTAAAAAAAATCGCAGTGAAATAAACCAAGGATCATGCCATCCAGGTTGCTGAGGTAAAGAGGGTTGTTTTAAGATTGTGCTGGTGTTTGGTTGTGAAGTACACTAAGTGCAGTGGGAAGTACTGAGTGCACCGAGAGGTTACAAGTGCCCTACCTCTCCCTATCAAGCATCTCCCAGAGGAGAAGGGAATAGAATGTCGTATCCACTCCGTTGTCCTTGTCTTTCTTGGATTCTAATGCAGGGTCTGATAGGTCCTTTTTGATTTTTGTTACAAGGAAGAAGCATCTGACCATTGTAGTACTGGTATTAGAAGGGGAAATAATTTGGGAACAGTGATTTCTAGTTAGTAAAAGTGAATGGAGAATTTAGATACAAAGATAGCCAAAACTGAAAAGAAAGGATTTTATAGTAAAACTTGACAGGGTCTTTAACTACTTTGTTCAGTGCCATAATTTTGGTTGGTGGAGAAGTTGGGACGATAATTAACACTAGACCCTGCATCTAACATGTTTGCTGTGTATATTCATGCACATACGCCTGTACTATGCATTATGACCATTATTTCTTGAAACTAAGGGGACAGTACCACCTGGTCTGTTGATCAGACTTTTGCCTTGCATGGTGCATTCACCTGGGATCTCCTTTTCCCCTTCAG